TTATGACATTTATTTTTACTAAATCTCTTATTGTATTCCATGCTTTTTCCTATTATACAAAAAATTACACGCATTTTTTATAAAAAAAATTGGTCTTAGATTTCTTTTTAATCTTGTATGGGGTGGGGGTGGTATATAGAATTTGTTTTGGTTGTGTATAGGTTCGAAAGGGCTTAACAAACCCTACAGTTTATGGGCCAACACTCTAAATAAAAGCCTTCAATCTGCAAACGCATCTCCTCACAATCCTCTGGTTACTCTTTGTTTTGATGAAATATTTTAAGAAGAGATAAAATAAATAACTGATATCAAATTAATTCAATTTATCTATTATGTGATTGGAAAGATGAAGTTAATTTATAAGTAAAATCAAATTCTAACTTTTACAATGACTTTTAAATATGATGATTTATAAGTCAAATCAATTTTAATTCAACTCAAATTATCTTTTAGTTATAACTATTTCAAACACAACCTAAATTTGTCTGATTCAAACTAACAAAATAATTAAGTTGAAGAGTTAGGCGATCTGACAAATAATCTGTTAGAAATTTTTTGAATATTAAAAAGTAAAAAATATTATAGACAAATTTTTTGAGCCGTAAATTATTACTCTTGTTAAAAATATATTGCCAGTGCACTTTTAGGAGAAAAATAGACATATTTCTTGTTAAAATATAATAAAGTCGTATAAACTCTCTTAATAATTTCATAGTATTTTTTACAAACTCTCTTAATAATTTGCAACGTTATTATTACAAACAAATTAATAATTTTCTACTAGATTGTCCTACCATCTATAATATCATGCATAATAGAAAACATTTCATGGAATTGAACTTTCTGTTAATATGAACATTTTAAATTTTAACAAAGTTATTAATAAAAAATATTACACACATAATATCATGTAATTATTAAGAGACTTTAATAATAAGCTTTTAACACTTTTATGACCACGTTACTCCTGCTTCATCAATAGTTATAAGAATAAATCCTTCAATCCAAACTAACGAAAATGATTGAGTTGAGGAGTTTGACAATCAAAGAAATAATAAAAACTCTTAGCAAAAAAAGAAATAATAAAAACTAATCAAATAAATTTTATCAGGATAAGAAAAAGACCAATACAAAAATTTTAGCGTCACAATATCGATTAGAATTGAATCTAACCACAAAAAAAAAAATAAAAAAAAATAAAAAATTGAAGTGTTAAATCATAACATCAAATCCAACACCCTTGTGATTCCAATGGCAATTTAATATCTGCTTTATGTTCGAAGAACATGAATGCTACACAGGCAGCAGGTATTGGCTCTGTGGGTAGTGTGTCTCAAAGTCAACGATCATTTTAAGTGCGTTTAAAAATATAATTGATTTAAATATTTATTCAACACTTTTTTAAATAATAATTTATATTATAAATTTAATAGAATAAATTCTAAATAGATTTTTTATAAATTATATAAAAAATATTAAAATAATTTAAAAATAATTTATAAGAGTAATAAATTATTATTTTGTTATTCATAAATTCTTTTAATTAAGTCTTTAAGAATCTATCTGATATTTATTTATCATAGCTTATAGTATTTTTTTTAACTAGCTAATTTTCTTTAAAGAGTGTTAAAGAATATATTTTTTAATATTTAACACTTTCTTAGTTATTAGTTACAATTTATTAAAGACTATATAAATATGCGAGAAATTTATTTAATTAAAAATGAAAATAAATAAATAACTGCCCATACTTTAAAAAAATTATATTAAAGAGTATGTTATTTGTAATTTTTATTTGTTTTAAAGAGTATTTAGTGTTGCTCTAAAATATTTAATAAGCTTGATTGTATTTTTGATCTTTCTAACTCTAATTCTTATTTTGTTCAATTTTAATAGAAATCTTTTTTCTTCTCTTTTTCTTACTATATTCCATTACTATCGATATGACTCTTCTTCTTCTTCGTTCTTATTTGGACACTGCTATTTACTTACCTTCTTCCTTTTTCATCCTTTCCTTCACTAGAGCTCTACCATGCCTTTATTCTTAAATCCTATATCTCTTAATACTTCATGATATATACCCATTTGAGCTTTGTAGTGAGGTGATTATGACTTCTCTTTTGCACTCTATGCCCTTTGCCTTCTCTTAATTTGTCTTCGCATTCCACTAGGAAACATCAAGGATCCAATGACCTCATCTTTCAGTGGTTTGTTCTACTTTAAATGCTCTAGTTAGAGTACATGTTCTCCAAGGTGTTTTTGTGCACATTGTTGTCATGGGAGGGAAGTTGTTCATTGTTGGAGGTATAAACTTGCATGAAGGTGCTTATGCAAACAATGCTCGTTTACTACATCACCATAAACTAGTGATTCAAAGTGACAATGTCCAACGAATTTTTTTTATTAAATTATTCTTTAAAATAAGTCAATTTTCCATTATAAGCATATACAAGTATATACACTCTCCCCCTTAAAATAAAGAAAAGACTTAAATCTATGTTAAAAGTTAGTGTATTTGAGGAGGAGGAGGAAGAGCAAGTAAAAGTGATGTAGAAAAAAAAAATAATTGTAAAAAAGAGTAAGACGATAAAGAAGGAGTAGAGAAAGAAAGCTGAGATAAGAAGGGATACAATAAGTGAAAGTGATGTAAAAGAAAATAAAGACGATTATAAAAAAGAGTGAGATGATAAAAGAGAAGTAAAAGAGGGAGGTTAAGAAAATAAGAAGGGAGGTAATAGTAATAATGACATAGCTCCATCTAGAAAAATATAATCTATTTAGGGTTGTATCTTAATAGAAAGACAAAATTTATGTAATTAAAAAAAAATTAAGAAATTAAAATTGAACAAACATAATAGTCAAAGGACAAAAAAAATAATTAAACATATTTAGTATTACTTTTTGTTTAAGAAATTTTTATTTAAATATCATTATTATCAATTTAATTAATCAATAAAAAGTATTTTATATAAAAAATTATTTAAAGAAGATTATTAATAGAAATTTTAACTTTAGAATGATAATAGACTCTTTCTATCTTTTATAATATTCTTTTTTTTTATTTGACGCTTTAATAATTTTGTTCACTTTATTTATAATTATTATATAAAATTAATAATAATTAATATTTATTTAGTAAAGGGTAATAATAAGTAAGTGAAATATTTAATATAATAAAAAGTTAAATAAAAATAAAATTGTAATAAAATGTTATTTTTTCACCAAATATAATATACCAAGTTATATATATTCGTCTTATAAAATTGTAAAATATTTTTTTAATAAAAAAACAAACTGCAAAATGTAATATATTATTCTTGATGCATTAGATTGAATAATAAATTCAAAATCAAATCTTAACGCTGAAAATAATGAATATTTTTATAATATTTTAAAGTTTCTTTATATACTACCATTGAATGGTACAGCATATGTGAGGCGTTTGCAACTATGAAAAGTAACAAATAGTTATAAAAATAATATAAAAAAATATTAATATCAATTTGACTCTGTTAAGATGATGAAGTAAAATAGTGATGAAAAAATATAAAAGAAAAATAAGTAAAAATAGAGTAAAGAATCTATATTATTTGAATGAATAAGATAAAAAAAAGAAAGAAGTAGGGAAAAACTTTTATATTTAAATGAGTAAAAATGAAAATATAATAAATTAATTGTATAAGAAATACTTTTATGATAATAATAGCAAATTAAATTTAATAAAAATAAAAATATTTAATATAAATTTTTTCTAGGTATTTATGTTTTGTATTATTTTAAAAATTACTTTACGATTAAGATAAAATAAAATAAAAGTTTTCTTTTACAATTGCTTTCGCAAGTCAGGAAAGAGAAATCATTTTTGTGGGACTCATCTTTTCCTTTTTTTCGCTTTCTCACCAAAAGAAACATATTTAAATAAATTTAAAATTTACTTTTTTTTAATAAAAAATCACATTTCTAAACTTTTTTTTCCCTCTTAAATCATTTAATCCCCAAACAAAACTTTAGAGTTGAAAATAAATAATAAAAAATAAATTTTTTATTTAAACAATTTAATATTTTAAGAATATAGCATGTTTCATTGAAGGTAAGTAACAGGAATGGAAAAAAGTTTTTATAATTATTTGATGTTGTGTTCACTGTTTTAAGAAGAAAATGTGGGGAAGCAATCAAAATTTCTCCGCAGCTTTAGAGTAGAGTATTTCATAAGATATTCCGGATAGTTTTAACTTATTTTGTCAGTTGAAACGATTGTTTTGCAAGGTATCTTGAATAGGTAGCTATTGACGTTTTTCTTCTTTTTTATTATGTTCTTATATCACTGTATCGTACTGACTAAAAGTTATTTTATCATAATTTTTTTATTTTAAGGTAATTTTTTTTATCCATTTGACTTCTTGAACTCTAATTTTTTAAAATTTTTTTGTTACATTAAAAATGAAAAAAAAAACGTTACAAATACTAATAAATAAATAAACATTACATTTATCAACTTGAGTACTAATTATTTTACCAAATATTTCTAATTTAGTCAACTAATTATTATGCTTTTAGTTAACTTATTTACTAGTTTTGTAAAACCTCTCTCTATATATATTACTGTTTTAATTATTACGTTGTTTTAATCTATATTTATTTATTTCACTTTTTTTAAATGAATAATATATCTCTGTCTTTTATAATTTTTTATACGTCTTTTTGATTGAATTAATCAGTACATAAAAAATATAATAAATATTACATTTTTAATAAACAAATTATTATTTAAAAATTTTTAAAAACTTAAATATATTTTTAATTATCACATTTTAAAATTTTTATTTTAATATCCTTATAATTTTACGATTTTTTATTTTTAAGTCTTTATTTCTAATTTCATCTGCTAAAAAACTGACAAATACCAATTTTGAATTAGAAAGATTAAAATAATAAAAAATCACGTAGAATATCTCTGGGAAACGGCAGCCTTACGTATTTTCCCTTTCGGGGCGCAGACGAAAAGTAGACAATATGGCGCAGTAGGCAGCAGCAGTAAGACACCGCGAATCCAGACCATTGAAATGTCTCCGGCCGGTGAACTCAGGTGGCTCTGCCGCATGCTCGACGACTCTCTCCGCCCCTACACAGTCTGTTTCACTGTTCTCACCTCCTTCTTTACCCTTTCTTTTCTTTTTCAATTCTCAGCTTTTTCCCTAAACCAATCATCTTTTCCATCTGTCTCAGCCACCACAGCCAGAGAAAGAGAACCAAATTCTAATCGCTTCTTCTCAGGTTTCGCATTCTTTCTCTTCTTCAAATCGCTATTCAATCTTCTCTACCTCATTTAGTTATTATTGTTATTATTCCTTTCAGGTCGTGACTAAAATTCAGCTTCGGATTCGCGAATTTGATTCTCGCGCGGAAACGAAACGTGCGCCGAACGAAGAGCAATTGTGCAGTCCGAACTATCATTCTTCCGTGCACCAGTGTCTGCCAAAGATCGTCGCCGAAATGGTGAGTGTCAGGACCAGCTTTTCATCGACGTGCTTTTGCGTAAGGTTGTTGTGAATATTATTCCTTGTTGGCTATTCGTTTGCAGATAATTTTGCTAACTGTGAAGAGTGAATTTGTTCATCACGTGGCTGTCAATGCTCTTGTCTTAAGTTCACAGTTTGTGTCCACAACGGTATGAAATAGTTGTTGTTTTCCTTGATGAGTTTAGTTTAAGTTGCAGTTGCACATTTACGCTTACTGCATGATTCCCTGTTTTGGTAATTTTAGCCTTTAATGATATGCAGGGGAACAATTGGGATAGATTCATTCATTTGCTGTGCTGTTCGTTGGAAATGGCCATTGTGAGGACACTGTTGTGTTCAGATGCGCCTTCTTCTGGAGCTGAAAATAGGGACTTTGATTGTTCTGACATTGAATTCGTGATGCAATATGGACTGAAGAATTGTGATTGGTCTAGTGTGGCAGGTATTGTTCGAGTGCTGCGTGTTATATGTAAATATTTGAAGGAGGACTGTGATGATGGACTTGTCAAAGTGTACTACGACTCTATCAATTCTTGTCTTTTGAAAATGCCGTGGGATTTATTGGATCAGTATTGGAGCTGTGACATTCGTGGCACAAATAACAGCTCTTCTGTCAATCAATTTTACCGCAATAATTTTGGTGTTATGGAGCCTGGAAAGAAGTTTCTTGGGACTTTTCTTCAGTTACTTTGCTCTTTGGTTGACCGGAATGATTTAGTCAAAACTGATTGTGATTCTGCCAATAAACATCCACTTTTTGTCACAGTAGTGGATCTTATACCTAGACTTGCTAAGTGGTGTCACAGCAAGCAAGAAGATAGTGCTGAGACACACATCATTCATTACTTAAAACACAAGTTTCTGGTAAGGTTCATCCACTTGTGCAATGAGCTTGAAAAAAGAATTTTTCATCATTTGTAGGATTGAATGTGGATGTTGTTCATTGTTTACACTTTAAATTTAATGGAAAGGTAGGTTATTTTTGTAAAAAATGCTGTTTCTGGTACATTGTGAAGTAAAATTTTAGTGCTGACAAAGCTTGAAAATTATTCCATCTCAAATCTCAAATCAAGTTTCTTTGAAGAATGCCAAAACCCACTAAATATAAGGTTGATCCACTTGTGCAATGAGCTTTTGAAATAAATTAATGGGGACTGAGGAGAAGAAAATGGGCTTGAGGAGAAAGTGATCCATGAAGCTTCAGCCAACCCAACTATGGGATAGTGTATGTGAGGAAAAGAAAGAAATTAGGAAATGTTTGAGATGTGCTGAGTTGGCAAAGTTAGTTATGGAGAGAGAATAGTTTTTGATTACTTAGGCATGTTTAGCAGTGAGTGGAGGGGTGCTTTTTGGAAGTTGTGGGATAGAGTTGCCGTTTGGCTTTCTGTAAGGAGCATTGCTCTGGGCACTAGAAGAACCTTTCTTCTTCTGCATAGTTTCTTTTTTTGTTGCAAATAATATAAACTTCTCTTATTTTCTGTCAATATTGGTGTTTTTGCCCTATATCCTGTTGTATGAATTTTGGGTCTGTAACATAAATTTTAGGCTAGATTTGTGCTAGTTGTATTGTAATTGGCCTATATTAGTGAAATATATTCAGAGGCTGGGTTAGTGTTATGTATAACAATTATTTAGCAGTGTACCCAGTCAAACAGCCATATAAAATGGGCAGAGTGCATAATTACAAGTTGTCCCCACTACCCAGGATAGAATAGAAGATTTATTTCACCAATTAGCAATTAGAGGAAAAGTTGTAAAAACTTAAGTTGCTGTTGTTGGTCCTATGTTTGCCAAAATCAGTGTCTAGTTACTTGTTCAAGTAGCTGGTATTGACAATTAGCCTTAATAATATTAGTACCCGTTTCAATATTTCTGTCATTTATGAAGGGATCAACTGACTTCCAGTTATTTGTGCATTGCTCCAGTAATAACTTTTAGTAGAGATCAGGATACTTGGAAAGTATCTTTACAACCTTTTATATTTGACATTAGTACTTGCCATCTTTATTGCAAGGTAATCCTTTTGTCTTTTCTTCACCAATGCTGCATAATTTTGTCATTATAAGTTGGTATTTGAAGTTACTTTATTTTTGCATGAGTTTATAATCATAGGAAAACTTGAGAAAGAAAAAGAAAAATTAGTTTTAAAATAACTTTGAAATTTAAAACTTTGTTAAAAGACTTGTTACTGGTTGTTATCCTTAGAGTGGAAGGCATTCATAAAACCAATATCTATGTTCTCTGCAGATTCTGATGATCAGACTTGGCTCACTCACATGGCTAGACTGTTCGATCCATGTTTCTTGGTTTGAACTACTTCATAACTACTTTCAAGAGCCTTTGAATCAACCTTTAACTCAATATCACTCTGATCAAATTGATTGTCTGGAGGGCTCTCCATTTTTGTTGAGTTTGTCTGACAGAGAAGCATGTGGGGTGCATTCCAGCCACCTACAAAGACAAGTTGTTTTCCTCTTACTGGCTTGTTCTTTCAGTTTGATCCGTCACAGTGGAGAAAATGTGAACAACTGTAATTGTTCAACTTTATGCTCATGTTTCACCACTATCCCACATTCAGAGCTTGATCACTTCTGCAGAAGAAAGGGATCACTAGAGCTTTACAGGTGGATTCAAGGACATCTTCCAACTGAGATATCTATCAACCAAGAAAACTACTTGCAGATATGTATGAACTTCATGTCATCTTTCCTCCAGCTATATCTTCGTGAGGTTTGTCTACTCAGTCTTTTCATGCTGCTTATGCATAGTAGTTTATGAGTATGAATCTTCTTTGATGTGGCCACTGTCTTCAAAATATTTCTCAATTCTGGAAATTTTGGGTTTTTATAATTCTTGGGTCCATATGGAATGTTTTGAAGGTTAAGTAACTACAATCAGGGATTTGATTATGTTTCCTTGTCAAATTTGGCTAGCTGGTCATGTATTGGAAACGGTGCAGCAGTGCAGCTCAGAAACTTTAAAAAAGAGGCCGTATTCATATTAGATCACTTCAAATCCTAATGGGACATTTTGAGTGTGTCTGTAACCATGCTTCTTAGATTGGAAATATATTTGCAAAACTAAGGCATTAATGAGAGTCGAGAGTCTTGTTTTCCTTTATCATACTAGTTTTGAATCTCTTAATGACGATATCTTGTAGTTTCATTGATGTTATTTATCACTTGAATGGCAGGATGATCTATTATTTGAAGTGCTTTTGCAATTGTTAAGCATATCATCTTGTCTCCAGCAACAGTAAGCAATTGTTTTCTATGTTTTTCTATTTTTACTGACCAATGAATGGAAGGATCCACTGTCATGAGGTTTATATGGTGTAGGTCTGAAAAAAAGGATTCTGCATATCAGGATGTAAAGAAAGATTTTCCATTTGATCTGGAAGACATTTTTAATCCTGTGCACCTTTTCCACCTGTTTCTTTCTGAGGTTTGGATTATGTACTACCATAGTTCATGCAAATAGAGACCCCCCCTTGCTATCCACTTTATTAATTACATTAACTTGTAAAAAAAACAAACCTTATTGATTGTCTTGTCCTTTACTTGCCAATCTGCAGATACATTATGATCACCAAGTGCTTCTTGATTACCTCATTTCAAAAGATACTGGAATATGTTGTGCTAAATATCTTCTAAGGTATCTCATTGTAACTTTTGGTTTGGCAAAAGTTTCCCATTCTTTGATTTTAAATAAACTTGTAAAGTTAACATAATCTGGCTGTCTGGTTGTGTTGATTAGCTTTCTGCAAGAACTTTTTGACATGTCTTATTTCTATTTGTAGTTATTTTAATATTATGATTTGGTATCTTGCTTACTCTGATTCACATAAACAAAAACTCTGGTCAGCCTCATGTTTTAAATTCTTGTTGCAAGCCTCAATTTCTTTTTCCTGATTCGATTGTGGAGGATATTAGTTCAGACTTCAGAATTAACTGTTTACATTGTTTGTTTAATGTAAGGGTGAATCGAATAAAGAAAGAGAATATCTAATAAATAATGAATTGTGGTTGTGGCGCTTATCTTGACTTATCGCTGCTTGAACGATGGCATTTACATTTTTTCTTATGCATGCTGTTGGTAGATGCTTGCACTTAGTATGCAACTCATGGAAGTTATTTGTGGAATTTCCATTATACGGAGAATTTTTAAATCAATCATTGTGCAAGAGAAGAAAAGTTCTAGGCGATGGTCTACAGTTTCTAGTTGATGGAATGCCTACTTCAGTTGACAGTGGTGGAAATATCATATTGCATATCAAGAATTATAAGGAAGACAGGGAATGTGATTTCAAGCACAATAATATTAAGCCATTCAAGAAAGCTGCAGAATGTTTACTATCTTTAAGCAATTCTGTTGATAATCTTCATAAAAAAGACTTGTTTCCATATAATCCTGAAGTGCTTCTGAAACGGTATGTTGCTTAATAATGAATTTATTTGTTGAACTTGAATAGATTGGTCAAGCTTTTAAAATGATCATTGTGTATCTGATGATAAAAAGAATTGATGAGCTTATTTCTTGTAGTCTAAGAAGATTTCAAGATCTCTGCTGTAAAATATAGTGGATTCCTTGGAGAGAAGACTGAGTAATTACCCAAACTGCATGTCTGACCCTGAAAGCTTGGCTATCTAGACTTTATTAATGATTATAGATCTACATTTTTGGGTGAGTAGGATGCTCATGGAAAAAAAAGTAGGCCTTGTCTTCTTGAGTGTTTTAATGTTATACCGGAAATTCTTTTTGTTGTCACAATTAAACAAGTTAGTTTGCTGATTGAATGGAATACTTGCTGAAAACAGGGAGTGGTGGCACGGAGGAACCGAGGAACAGAAAGGAGAGAAAATTTCTGCTGGTTCCGAGTTGTGTGGATATAAGATGGCTACTCCACTGGTATAGGCAGGTCAGAGTGCTCCAGGTCAAGACATTGTTGCTGCAGGTGTCTATCTAATCATAGTCTTGGTTCACTCTAAATCTATATAGTATTCTATGGGTTTGTGGATTGATGCCATCTTCAGAGAGTCTGATGAGTGATATCATGGACTTGGGCTGCATATAATCTGAAAAATTGGTGTATCACTGTTTTCAATCTTGAATTTGTAAAGGAACAATTCCCTTCCCTCAACCTTTAGCCAGCAGCATGATATTCTCTTTGTTAAACCTTTTTGTAACATATCCTCCTAGTAATCCAAACAATTCTCATATTGTAGGATATGTCCTCCTTGTGGATGCCTTTCCTTTCTTCATACGTGGAGCTTGGATTCTTTCTCCTCCAAACAAGCATGTAAGGCATCTTAATGGCTGTTTGTAGCATCCTTCCTTTTTTTTCTCGCATAAGTTGAAGGATGGGTTCATACTGTTTTTTGACTATTGATGTAATGATAGAAGAAATGGTCAGCTGGGATTAAACGTTTTTCAGGTAGAGTTTTGCGCATAATTGTTTATAGACGATTTTCATTTGAATGAAGAAATTGTTAATGAAGGGTAAAAAGGAAAATACTTAACATTAGTTTTGAGGACATAGGAAAATATTTGGGCTTCTTTTGCGTAGGTCTTGAAAGGGGAGTTTAGTTTTGAGGACATAGGAAAATATTTGGGCTTCTTTTGTGTAGGTCTTGAAAGGGGAGTTGGTGCATGTGGTAAAATTTGATGAGGAAGACGAAGATGGATTTCCACGAAAATCAACATGAAAATGAAGTGGTATTGTTGCGTTGCATAAGTTATTGTTGGTTTGAGTGTAGAAATGTTGTAGCTTCAATTGGCGTCATTTTGGAAGTGTTATTTTGTGATTTTATTATAGGGTTTGGCAGAGGAATGGTTTGGAGGTGAGGAAATAAGAAGTTTATGAAGTCATTAGTGCGAATGATACCGTGGATGAGGGGTATGTTAATTTATTTGAGTAATCTATAAATACATGTAGATCCACTTAAGAACCCGAGTACCTGTGTCAAACTACAAAGTAATAAATTATCATTTTATTATATTAGATTATGTCAATGCTAACAATTTGTAATTATTCTCATAAATAATTTCTTCAAGTACTGGCCATGATCTAAAGTCATCTCCCGTAGTAATTAATCCACAAGCAAAGTAGTCTGAATGTAAAACACTTTGTAGTATAATACACTATGATTGACATATGATATATTATCATTAATTCCTCGAAGTTCATAGTTTTAGAAAACTAAACAAAATAATGTTAACATTATGTAACGATGACAAATTTAGCATAGAATCTTACAACGAACTGTATGTTTCTTTTCCTTTCCTTCAACTTGTTCACATATGAGAAGGAATTTAAAGAGTAAATATTTTGATCTTTTATACTAATTACCCGGTGGCACTAGGACTCATGAAATGACATATAAATTTGTTAAGTGACTATGATTAATTTTGATAAGCAATAGTAATAATTAAATAAAAGAGAAGAAAAAGTAATATAACTTAGATCAACAAATGATAAGTCGAACTTGGTGGTATTCACTTAAGGACATAGTTAGTCGTTAAATCTTTGGGTAGTTCTCTTTGCAATATATTATGTTTCATTGTTAATTACAAATACTCAGTCACCAACATTGGTAGTGCAATTAAAATAATCATTAAGTATAATTCCACATATTTTTTTAAGTATCACAAGAGAAAGTGAAAAAAATTATGATGTGATTGTGTGACCAAATTGCTCTTGCATTTGAACATAAAAAGTACTATCTTGTTTTTGAAAAATAATGATGTATTTAAATTTTTTATATTGTAACAATAAAAATTATGATGTGATTGTGTGACCAAATTGCTCTTGCATCTATATACTTTCCATTGCTACAACATAAAAAATCTAAATACATCATTGTTTTTTAAAAACAAGATCATCTATATACTTTCCATTGCTACAACATAAAAAATCTAAATACATCATTGTTTTTAAAAAACAATATAGTACTTTTTATGTTCAATGTCTCTACATTGAAAATATCTTGTCGACTGCATAACTTTATGTTATAAAATTATTTGGTTATTTATTGAATCAACAAAGTTTTTGTTGGTACTAAAGTTGACGTAATGTTCAATTGGAATTAAATATAGCATATTAAGTTCAAGTTTGCTTGATGTCTAAATATTTCTAAAGATAAATGTTGACACTTGCATCTTTAGCTTTGTTAGACACATATTACCTGTGGGTCTAAATTTAGACTTCACAAATCGTGAGTGAGAAAGGTAAAAATATTATAGAAATAGAGATGTAAAAGAAAAAATTATTATGATTCATTCCATAAGTGGAAAAACATTAGTAAGATAAAAATCATTATCAAGGTAGAATGAAGTATTACATCAAGTTACTTGCTACGGGGACTATTACTAGTTTTTGTCATTTGGGTTGTTATACCTTAACTGTGTGTCTACAATTTGTACTATTTACGGAAGTTGGTGTACCATTCTTTGGGAGTCAATGATATGGAGAACAATTTCTTTCTTTGCAATTTCTTCTCAACCAAAATAAATATTAGTGAAAACATAACGATGACTGCCGACCTTTAAGCAAAATTTGGAATCAAGCCGACAATGACTGCCATTTTTTTAATTGTGCGGCAAACTACGGTTAAATTAAAAATTTTCAAAATGTGTTTACTCAAACTATGAGGGTGTAATTAATGTCTTTTGTGGATGCAACTGATGCTTAGACTACTGCATTATTTTTATAGTGCATCTATACTGTTAGGATACAAACATCAATTAGAATTCTGTATTCTGTAATTATTTTTCTTGTATTCTGTCGCTATTTCTTACTGATATCATGTTCTCATTCTTTCTTGAAGTACATTTGGTATTCTTTCACACATATCATTTTTAGTCATAATGTCGTTGCAGAGACTTGTGTCAATATCAAGATAATATAAATATCACACAATCCGAGCTGAAATGTTATTCATGTGTGGTGCCAATATCATTCATCTAAGTCCATGGAAACCTTTATTAAGTTCTCTTTCTCTAAGGTATATATTGGTTGCCTAATAAATGTTATACATTTATATTTGCATGTGTATAACATAGTATATTTCGTCTCCACTGTATAGGAATAAACGTCAGACCCAGGTAAGAGCACTGAATTACATGCATGGCAAGAAGCCATTGAAATGATCAAAGTACGTATTATAATAAAAGATTGAGTTAATATAACACATGTAGAACGTAACTGCCGTACACTTTTAGATGCTGGACTATTGGATATCAAGAATTTACAAGTTAGAATCACTTCAAGTTCGGGTGATTATGATGCAAATTATCTTGTGCAAGGGTAAAAGTTCTGATAATTACAATGTCGCTGAAAAAGTTTTGGATAATGCTGTAAGTGGTGGAAAGGTCCTTATACTGACTTCAATAAAAGATAAGGGCAAACAAGTGATTTCATCTGACAATAGCCATTGTGAAAACTCTATAAGAAATGTTTTGAACAATCTAACTATTCAATCTTTTACCAATGAAGATGAAGATACTAGCATTATCATTATGTTTTAAGAAGAGAACATTGAAAACCCTATAGGGATGGGAAAGAGTGTGGCACAAATGGCTCCCAACAACACTGCTAAGAAAAGTCATTCGTGTTTGACTGTAAAGACTTGATCTCAAATTTTGGTCAATGTCGACTCAGTTTCACAAGATATATCCATACCCATTTATAAAAAAAATAAAATAAAATTAGACAAGTTTGTTATGCCTTCACTGATACTTATTATTAGTTATGAAGAGCTTGTAAGAGAAGAAATTATTCTCCACATTGTTGTCGCCACTGAAGAAAGGTACACTAACCTGTGCCAATAGTCCAAATTATAAATGTAATTAGGGTGCCACAACTCAAATGACATAAACTTATAATAGTCTTCATAATAGGCAAGTTAATATTATGTGTAGAGTCAATGATTTCATTCTACATTGGGTAATAATTTCTATCTTATTAATGTTTTTTACTTATGATTTAAATAATATATATATATATATATATATATATATATTTTATATTTCTATTTTATAATGTTACTCATAGTTTGTGAAGTCTACATTTAGACCCATAAGTTACGTGGGTTTAACAAAATTAGAAATGCAAGTATCTAACATTTTATCTTTGGAAATGATTTAGATACCAGATAAACTTAAACTAATATGGTATATTTAATTTCAAATTAAACATCTTATTAAGTCTAATATTAATAGAAACTTCATTGATATAATAAATAACCAAATAAATTTTTAGCATAATGCCAAGTAGTTAAAAAGAGATGTTTAATGTTTATGCTCATCTAACGATATCATTGAAAATATATCTGTTGTTTTATTGATACATTTGAATATAAAAAGTACATATGTTAATTTCACTTCCCATGTCTTAACCTAAAAAACAATAGTGTACTTAGAATTTTGATGTTTTAGTGTGAAAAGTATATGGATTGAAGAGAAATTTGGTTACATAATCAGATTATGGTTCTTCCCACCTTTTACAATACTTAAAAAATATCTCAAATTATATTTATTGACTTTTTTTTTTGTTGGACTATCATTTAGTCACTAAATATTTATAATTGATAGTGAAACTTAATATATTATATGGAGAACTACTCGGAGATTAAATGACTGATTACGTCCTTGAGTGGATGCCACCAAATTTAAACTTTACATTTGTTAGTTTAAGTTGTATTACTTTTTCATCCCTTTTTATTTAATTATTACTATTGTTTATCAAATTAATCAAGTCATAAAACAAATTTATGCGACATTTTATGAGTGTTGATGTTACTAGTATTTAATGGTAATTAGCCGTAAAAGATCAAATGATCTATCGTTTTGATTTATTTTCAAATGTGAACAAGTTAGAGGAGAGTAAAAGAAACATGAACTTTGTTGTAAGGGTCCATGGTAATTTTGTTATTGTTACATAACATTAATCTTGTCTTTTTAGTTTTTCTAAACTATAATTATAACTACTTAAAGATAATTCATCATATACCAATTGTAGTGTGTTGTGTTTCATACGTTTTATATTCAAACTAATCGAATCAAGGGGAAATTCTAACTGCAAATAGGTATAAATTTATTAATGAGAATAATTATAATTATTAACATTAATATTATTCAACTAGCATAATAAAATGATAATTTTTTTTTTGTAGTGTTAACTTAGTTACTGAGGTTATTGAGTGAATTTATATTGGTTCATAGATAACTTAAATAAATTAATATACACATCATCCATCACATTATTCTTGCTAATGAGTTCATTTCAATTTTTAATTTTTAATTTCCTCACCTCCAAACCATTCCTTTGCCAAACCCTACAACAAAATGACAAAACAATACCTTCAAAATGACACCGATAGAAACACAACAATATTTGTTCATTTAAATGAATAATAACATATATAATGCAATAATACCTCTTTATTTTCATGAAAATCCATCTTTGTACTCGTCTTCGTCTTCCTCATTGAATTTTACCTTATGTAGCAACTTCACTTTCAAAACCTACACAAAAGAAACTCATATATTTTCCTATG